TTTCCTTTGCGTTTAGAATCCATTCCTAATAAAAATAATAAGTAATAACAAAAGTATATTAATATAGATTGCAAAACACAAATTTATAATCAAGAATGACCTTTCTCATTCCCATTGAAATACACTTAATAAGCCGACATTCCTTGCAATGTTTGCGATTTAAGAAATTTATGCGACAATTATCACCGAATTTACAAATTAATTGCTGAAAATAGTAAGAATCTTAACATAATTGCTGGATTTAATATGGATCTTAGTATTTACATCAATTTTGTAGGCATTCCTCCTAAAGAATGCCTTACACGATTGACAAGTAAGGGCACCGAAATTATAGCCTAACAAGGCAAATATATTTTTAACAAAATTTGTATACTATAATATCATAATTTGATTTATACCATAAGCCATTTCATTGCAAATTAAACAATATTTAATTAATTCGCACCCAGACATACTGTAGTAACCGCAGTGTAGTTATCCACTAAATATTATTAAAATCCACAAATTGTAACATAATCTAAATAAATTAATAAAACTTCACACGTATGTAAGTAACGTTGCACTACAATTGTCCTCAAATCAATGTTTGATATAATAATATAAATGAACAACTTTTAGTGCACATAAACTAGTAAGTGATTAATTCATAGATAACAAAATTATAACGACATGTTACAATATGTCATATACAGTACAATAAAATATAATGGGAATTATTTAGTACATTATACTACAGTATATAATATACAGTGCATATACAATTTTATATACAATAAGTAATTGTCAATAACTTCAACCATATTAATGATCAATGTTACTTATGTTTTAATTAAATGTGTTTTTTCAAGTATATTTAAATTATCCAAGGACATTGACAGTTATGTGTAAGATAATAATTATGTTATTATGTTTATACTTTAATACAATATATTATAAATTAAATAAATTTATTGAAATTAAATTATGGTCTCAAACATTGAATTTTCAACATATAAATTAAATATAGATTTTAAAAATATAACAACATAATTTTCTAAACACAATTTAACAAATGTTTGTATGATAAAATCTCTAATAATAATCTCTATACAGTAAAAATAATATGACTAAATGTATATTGTCAAAAATTATTGTATTTTATTGTATTGAAATTATTGTATTTCTGTAATATATTTTATCAGTTATAACTTATAGCATTTAAGGAAATTCATGTATACCTGTTGTGTGTGTGTGTGTTTGTGTGTGTTTGGATTATTGATTATAATCATTGTATAGTTTCTAATAATTATTTTAATATATTTCTAAAACTATAGTTGAATTATCAATTGATTTCAAATTTCAAACTCTCTCTCATTAGTGGTGAGATGTGTACTGTACTACAGATTCTGTAGTTTATAACAGAATCAATAGAATTGTATGTTTTTATTTAAAACAAAATAACACAATTGACAGGAATATTTGAATTAACATTTTTAATGTATACTTTTTAAAACAAGTATAAATGGATTAATTCACAAATTCCGGAAATAACACAAATTTAATGAAATATATCACAATTCTGTAATTATAGTTGAATTATCATTTGATTGAATACCGAGAATCTCTCGCATAAGTGGTGAACACATTTTTGCGTCAACTTTGCGAATGTTTTCAATATGTAATTCTCGCATCATTTTCATGTCATACAAAATGTTTAAAATTCTCAAGAATTTCATATTTGCTTCACACGGAGCTCTATAATTCACTCGTAGATAGCGTTGAAGTAAATACATGTATAGCTGCTGTTGGTGTCTATTATAATAAATAATATTGGTTATTATTTTATTAGATATATTTTGAATTTACATGACATGTGAAATGAATTACATTAAGAACAGTTATTCTAATCGCCGGTCGGCGTTGAAAAGTATTATAGTCCATAACTGTTGACATAATTTGTAAATATAAGTAATGTGTTTTTAATTATAAAACTTTTTAATTATTACCAAGTCCAAAATATTTCGGTCGCGATTAAATTCAATATCAAATTTGCGTATATAATGACCCATCAAACTGGACATTGCTGGTCTCATTTGCTCCATTAAATCCAGTGATATGATCATTGAATTCTTACCAGTATTATCCTATCATATCAATAAATTATCAAAATTAATCGCCAATCAAAAATACAAGTTATTATACTCGTACCCTGGGAACCACAAAACATGCTAGTTCATAATTATAATATAGAACCGTTCGTAATAAGTGAATTTCAATGCACCCGTATTTGATCAGGGCTATTTGATCTTCGATATTAATACTTTGAAAAGCATGTAGTTTACTGGTCAGTCCAATCAGAGTATTGACAGATCTATCAAAAATAGTGACCGAATATCGGCTCAATTCTAGTGTGGTTTTCATTGGTGCGACAATATTGCCGGGAACTGATATATTCTTTAACTTTGTTACACTAAATAATTCCCGCAATAGATTACATTCAATATCATTTAACCTAGAATAATCATCAATTGGTCTGGGTATGTTANTCAATTACTCTGGGTATGTTATTAAACTCCAATTCCACAGTCAATTGGTAGGTTGAGTCATGTATATCATCTCTGTCTACATAAATATAATTGTCTTTTTTATAACTAGTGGTGTCACAAGTGTTTGGTCCTGAGTTTGTGGACATGGATGAGATTTCTGGTGATGGTTCCCACTTATGGTACAACTGAAGCGATTTCTTAACCTCCCGTTCCCGCAGTTTCGTGCGGTTCTTCTCGACTTTCTGTTGCCTTTCCTCTCTTTCCTTTGCGTTTAGAATCCATTCCTAATAATAATAAGTAATAACAAAAATATATTAAAATTTAATATAAATTGCAAAACACAAATCAATAATCAAGAATGACCTTTCTCATTCCCATTGAAATACACTTAATAAGCCGACATTTCTTGCAATGTTTCCGATTTAACCAATTTATGCGACAATTATCACCGAATTTACAAATTAATTGCTGAAAATAGTAAGAATCTTAACATAATTGCTGGATTTAATATGGATCTTAGTATTTACATCAATTTTGTAGGCATTCCTCCTAAAGAATGCCTTACACGATTGACAAGTAAGGGCACCGAAATTATAGCCTAACAAGGTAAATATATTTGTTAACAAAATTTGTATACTATAATATAATAATTTGATTTATACATTGAGCCTCTTCATAGCAAATTAAACAATATTTAATTAATTCGCACCCAGACATACTGTAGTAACCGCAGTGTAGTTATCCACTAAATATTATTAAAATCCACAAATTGTAACATAATCTAAATAAATTAATAAAACTTTACACGTATGTAAGTAACGTTGCACTACAATTGTCCTCAAATCAATGTTTGATATAATAATATAATAATAATAAATAAAATATATAAATAAACAACTTTTAGTGCACAGAATCTAGTAAGTGATTAATTCATAGAAAACAAAATTATCACGATATGTTATAATATGTCATATACAGTACAATAAAATATACTGGGAATTATTTAGTAAATTATACTATATAATATACAATTTATATAATATACAGTGAATTATTTTTCAAGTCAGTTGAACCAGGAACTGACAATCAAGAACATTTGCTCCTGTCTGATATAATATGAGCTGGGGACAATCATAGTAACGGTAGCTATTTTTATTATTACTTTAAACTCCAGTAATATTTTAACCTTATAAGTTATAATACTACTCGTTTACCTTGAACCTATGAATATTTTATGAATAATTGACTTTTGCATAAAATTAATAATTAGGTATAATAGATATAAAGTAGCAAATAGCTAACGTTAATATGATTGTCCAAAGCTCATATAATATATAACATTTATAACTTATATAATATACACTGTATATACAATTTTATATACAATAACTTCAATTATATTAATGATCAATGTTACTTATGTTAATTATTCCAGTATAATTATATTATCCAAGGACATTGACAGTTAGTTATACAGTACTGAGTCAGTATGGGAGATAATTTTATGTTATTATGTTTATACTTTAATAAAATATTTTATTTTATAAATTAAATAAATTTATTAAAATTAAATTCTTATAAGGTTTCAAACATTGAATTTTCAACATATAAATTAAATATAGATTTTAAAAATATAACAACATAATTTTATAAACACAATTTAACAAATGTTTGTATGATAAAATCTCTAATAATAATCTCTATACAGTAAAAATAATATGACTAAATGTATATTGGCAAAAAATTATTCTATTTTATTGTATTGTTATTATTGTATTTCTGTAATTTATTTTATCAGTTATAACTTATAGCATTTAAGGAAATTCATGTATACCTGTTGTGTGTGTGTGTTTGGATTATTAATTATAACCAGTGTATAGTTTCTAATAATTATTTTAATATATTTCTAAAACTATTGTTGAATTATCAATTGATTTCATATTTCAAATTTCAAACTCTGTCTCATTAGTGATGAGATGTGTACTGTACTACAGATTCTGTAGTTTATAACAGAATCAATAGAATTGTATGTTTTTATTTAAAACAAAATAAATAGACTGTTGAATCAAAATTTAAGAGTTATACTGTACACTGAACATTGTAAACAAGTGACTATTTTTAGCATAAATGTAGAATATTTTTTGAATCACAAATAATGCATTGATTGTGTATAATGTTAACTTTATACATTTTAAAATAAAGTTATGCAATGCATTCACATTCAATATAAAAACAGGAATTTCATTTATTTGATCGCAATTGCTTTCATGTATTCATTTAATTAAAAATATTTTTCTGATTATAATCGTCTGGTAGTTGAAACCATATTAATAGTACGGAAATATAAATGTTGAATACAAAGGAGGATGTTTCTCGGTCTATGGGATAATTAACCAGCTCTCCCGGTCAATTTTATTAGCTAATCTTGTAGAGGCCATTAAAATATATAATATATGTAAAAATAAGCAACTTTCATAAAACGGTTTAGCCGCTAGGGGGATTTAAATAAGTAAAAATCGGTGTTTATTTTATTAAATGTCAACCGATTTTAACAAATGAAATTATTTTTCTGACTAATTCAAACATGAGGATTTCAAATAAATTATTATTTATTTAATAAAATGAAAAAATAACGATAAATTTTACAAAGAACACGTTCGAATTTGACCTAAGCTGGCACCCATGAAATAATTATTAATTCTTATATTACTTTCGACGAGGAGTCCGAATATCTAATTTATATTGTCCTGTGACCTCGGGTTCGTGTGCAGTGACCACTTATATCGGGAAAATTTTCATAATGAATATGCCCATGTGATATATCAATTCAATAGAGATTCGTATACAGAATACGATGATATATGTGAAAATTCAATTAACCTAAGTAATCATGCAAATAATGTAGGATTAGTGACGAAAACTGTGAAAAATCATATTTCATTTAAATCTTGAGTTTTCTATATTATTATTTACTCCGTCATATTCAGACTAAAATTCTCTATCAAATCGTTAAACCACATGTCCATATTTATAACGGAAATATTTTCCAATAAAATGGGACATTATGACTAAACCCATTAAAATAAAAACAGGAATTTGTATAATTTTTACTGGACATCCTACAAGAAATATAACTATATAATTTCTATTGCATAGTGGCCAGCTGCAGTGGCCACTTTTATCGGGAAATATTCCCCTTATAAATATAGATATGTGATATATCAATTTGGTAGAGAATTTCACTCTGAATATGTAGGTGTAAATAATAATATAGAAAACCAAATATTTAAATGAAATATTGTGATTTTTCATAATTTTAGTCACAAATTCTACATTATTTGCATGATTATTCAGCTTTATAAATTTTTCACATATACCATCGTATTCTGCGTTAAAATCTATATTGAATTGATGTATCACATGAGCAAATTTATTATGAAATTTTTACCCAATAAAAGTGGTCACTGTGCCCGAACCCGAGGTCACAGGACAATATAAATTACATATTCGGACTCCTCGTCGAAAGTTCTATAAGAATTGTTCATAATATCAGTTGTAATAAAAAACGGACTATATGACAAATATGTTGGTTAAGGGATATGCATCCTATTACAAACTGTGGTGCACTACCATTACATTCATTTAGTATTGCATTGAAACTAGTATTAATACAAAATAACAACTTGTATGCAAACATACGAGAATAGGAATTTCAAAATCATTTTTTTACAAAAATAATATGAATACCTAAATGCAATGATTCACACAATAATTCAGTGTTCCTGAACTCAAAAAAAGATTACGCTTCTAAGATTTGTCGTACCAACTTTGATTTTTAGTGTTATTGTAGTTGATAAGTTCAATGTAGATTTCCAATTACTTATGATCAGAGCCAGGATTCTCAGGGATTTTAGCATAAATATAGAGTCACGCAAAGACATTGTTACGAATTAAACATTTTAAATATGGTTATAATTTTAGAAAATAAGTTCACTATTTAATCAATTTGGTTCACAATTAAGTTAATTTAGTTGACTATTTAGATAATTTGGTTCACACTTAAGCTAATTTAGTTCACTATTTAGTTAATATTAAAGTATTGTTATAATTTGTGAACCAAATTAACTACATAGTGAACTAAATTAACTTAATTGTGAACCAAATTAAATAACATGACAATTAACAATCAATTTGACCACTTTTATTAAAATTTTTGTATTTTACATTTGGCTAATAAATTAGAAAAAATACCTAGCTTATACGATAAATCTTAGAAGCTTAATCTTTTTTTGAGTTCAGGAACACTGGACTAATTGTATAGAAATGATTAATTTGTATATTCATGCCAATTATTGAAAAGACTACCGGTACTATAAATGTCCATGTCTCATATAACTCTTAACTCATACTATCATGGACAAGCAAAACTGGTCTCGGTTTTTCCTTGATAATTCCTAAATGGATAATTCTATCTTAGATTTGACTTCAGAATCTTAATCTTGAATGGATGTACGATCTCTGGGTATTTTAGATCGTAATGCTTTTGTGATATTACATTTAATGTGACATGCGGGTAGCTAGATTTATTATTAATACATTTATTCATTTATTATTAAATTTTGATGGACAATTTATTTTATTTTTGAATATTATTGTAAAATACCCGTTTACATTTTGTTAAATAAATAAATTTAATTTAAAACATTGCTAAAATAACACAATTGAGAGGAATATTAGAATTAACATTTATAATTTATACTTTTAAAACAAGTATAANTTAGAATTAACATTTATAATTTATACTTTTAAAACAAGTATAATTGGATTAATGCAAAAATTCCGGAAATAACACAAATTTAATGAAATATATCACAATTCTGTAATTATAGTTGAATTATCATTTGGTTGAATACCGAGAATCTCTCGCATAAGTGGTGAACACATTCTGGCGTCAACTTTCCGAATGTTTTCAATATGTAATTCTCGCATCGTTTTCATGTCATACAAAATGTTTAAAATTCTCAAGAATTTCACATTTGCTTCACACGGAGGACTATACTTCACTCGTAGATAGCGTTGAAGTAAATACATGTATAGCTGCTGTTGGTGTCTATTATGTTAAAATTTAAAAAAATTATAAAATAATCTATATAAAACTTAAATGTACTGTACACTTTACTTTATGTAATTCTTGTCAATAAGATTAGGTCGGTTGGCGTTGAAAAGTATTATAATCCATAACTGTTGACATAATTTGTAAATATAAGTAATGTGTTTTTAATTATAAAACTTTTAAATTAATAATGGTTCAGGTTTTATAAAGCCAGCGCTAATTTAAGTTATAGTTTAAACGCATATATTACTGGGTAGTTTGACCTGTAACGACCAGAGTAAACGAGGTAATTTAGGTCACTATACTAGTATGAATTCTTACCAGTATCATCCTATCATATTAAAATTAATTATCAAAATTAATCGCCAATCAAAAATACAAGTTATTATACTCGTACCATGGGAACCACAAAACATGCTAGTTCATAATTAT